AGTAAGTTAGAACCAAAACGATTGCATATGTGTGCATGTTCAAAGATCTGTAAGTACGGAAGAAAACGGCATATATGACAGGGTAGCTGTATTTTCCTGGTCACACATATCAAATTAATCTGATATCGTTCCCCATGCATATTTCTGAACAATCCCTCAAGACGAAGGAATGACGTTATGTGACGATCCTCACGTAACCCAGCGTTGACTACTTAGTACTTTTTTTTTACTCCACCATTTGTTCCAGAGCATGACGATTCTTCCCATCTGCTTGGAGACCAATTCTGATCTCTACCAGTGTTTGTATAAGAAGATAATGTACGTAAATATGTACCTAGCGGTGGCCACACGATGTATAGGTCAATAAAGGCATGGGGCATGCACGCAGAAAGACGACAAACATAAGGCCACACCGCCTTAATTTCATGGATGACATCCTTTGAAGACCCCCAAACTAGTGCGCGCGGGCGAATAAAAAAAATTCCGGCCCAAAATAAAAATGCTACTAAACCACAGGAATACAAAGCTGGTATTGTGAATTTGCGGTAGTAATTAGCGACGTATACTACAAGCCGGCACATGCTGGCTTTTTGCGGAATTTAAGAATCGGTACTGTGCGTATGTACTGAGTTCTTGAGTCGTGGAGCTTCGGTAGCTTGAGTGCCTGGCTCCATATTGTTGCTAACTACCATGGACTACCCAGGCCTAGAGCCAGGCCAGAGCCTCGGTGGATGTGATACTTTGTTTTTCATTTCTTTGAGAACAGGCGAAAATCAATGCGCGCGGATGTCATCCATAAAATCGAGTCAGTGTGGCCTAACTTAAATTCAGAAGCCCTGTTAAGCTTAGGTCACAATTGAAGAAAGGGGTCCGCTCGGCGTGTGTTCGGCGTGTTTTTTGGCACTACCGAACGGGACCTGGACGGAGACCGACGGGCTTCCCGACGGCTGCCGACCTACTTTTGGCCCCGAGCGGTCGCCGAATTGATTTTAACTCAAACTTAAAATCACTTCGGGCCCCGTTCGGCAAGGTACGCCGATGCGACGCCGTAACCTCACTGCCCGGGACCCATCGGGCGGCCGAACAGGCACCTGCCAAAGATTATGACGTCACATGTGCTGATCAGTGCATAAGGTGGTAAGGAAAATGGGGTTATATGGGGCATATATTAACTCCTTCTTCAGACTACGTCGCACAGTTTACCACGTGTGTGTTACGCCGTGTACTTGTGTGTGTTATACCGTATACTTGTGTGTCAGAATGCCGAAGGGCAAGCCAGAAAACAGCCGAGACGATTGCCCGGCATACACGTACTTCATGAACAGTGACATTGTGTGGCATGTGGGCTACCCTGAAGGCAAACTCCAAGGATCGGTAGCACCGATGGCACCAAAGCTCCACGACTCAAGAACTCAGTACATACATACAGTGCCGATTCATAGATTCATGCATGTGCCGGCTTGTCGTGTACTTCGCTATGTACTGCTGCAAATTCACAATACCAGCTTTGTATTCCTGTAGTTTAATAGCATTTTTATTTTTGGCTGGATTTTTTTATTCGCCCGCGCGCACTAGTTTGAGGGTCTCCAGAGGATGTCATCCATAAAATTAAGTCGGTGTGGCCTTATGAATAAAAAAAGACGATAAACACAAAACACGCTACCGTTGTCACTTTATCACCCAAAGTGTCGTCCTAGCAGAAAATATTTACAATGTACAAGCTTAAGTACGGAGAGATACACGTGACCTTGATTTGCAGATACGTACTTAACACTTGAAAACAGACAAGATCAAATCGTAGCATGAAAGTTCATCTCAGTTGGTAAAATACGTAATGAGAATTTAACTGTTCTCCGTCTCAATGGGAGAGGGGCGGTACCGACTTCCGGCGAACTTTGACCCAGTACTGACGTCACACGTGGGTAAAAGTCACGTGTCTACAGCACTCGGTACAGAAAGCTGATGAAGACCGAGTGATTCGGTCTAAAAATTCGAGTCAATTTTCTTGAGTTGTAGAACAGTTAAATTATCATTTTAAATTCATATCATGCTTTAGAAGATGTGATACCAACTCCTGTAATATTTCCCAGGATGCAGCATTCTTGCAGGACAAAGCCCTTAGTGCCAACACGTCTACATATCTAGAATTAGAATCATTTTCTACTTTGTTAGATTTCATACTAACGGGAACAAAACTGCACTAAGTGTATACTCCAGGACTGTGGCTAACACAGAAATGTTATAGTCAAAAACATACATTTTATAATACACAGTATTGTTCACATATGCCACGGATCTCGAAAATATTTTTTCCTTGCAAGCAGGCATTGTGGCGATGTACTTTTACGTCTCTGGTCTTGTTTCTGTTTCCTTTGTTTGCAACAACTTTTCTTCTTCATTCAAAAACCAACAACAGGCAATCATACTACGCGAAACTACCTATCACTGGTCTTCATCATCATAGCATCTCGAAAAGTTCTAAGTTGTAAAAAACTCCCTTTTCATCGTTCATCCAATCTATCTAAAACTTTGAAATATGAAATCTTATTGGGTTATTCACTAACTAGATCAGAACTCATCTTGAGATAGAAATGTACATTCGCAAATCTTCTTGTTTCGTCGCTCACTGAGATAGACAATACGTAGATAAAAAAAATCAGGTCAAATTTCCAGAAGACGAGAAAATGTCGGCTACCTTTCGTGCGTACGTGTATTTGGTTTGTACCACTGACATCTATGTCTCCTATTCGATTCAGCTCCCAACTAGTTTTTGTAATACTAAAGTATCGCATTTCTTAACCTGAAAAATCACTATTTCACAAAAACTGAGCTTGGCTACCTAGTTTAGGAACTGTTCCCTTCTTTCCACTTCGATTGACAAACTCCTAAAAACTATATTCCTCGTATACTGTAGACCTAGAATTCTAAGCGAAATTCCAGTTTCTAGATACTTCGTCTCCACAGAATCCATTTTGAAATTTATGTACAGTTAACAAGAAAATTATTAATCACCTTTGCCAGGCTAGGATCAATTATGATTACAAGGGTTATGAATAATGTTGCTGTTAACTGTATGTATTTTATATCGTGAAAGTTCATCTGTGTTGGTAGTTACATGTTTAAAGTTAAAACTTTTGGTCCAACACAAAAAATTCTCTCACCTAGGATTTTAGACACTGAACAAGACTATTTCTTGAGAGGGGTGAAGGAAGCCATATACATCAGGGCCCATCACCCTACATTGAACCGCGACGGGTGCCGACATTGTCTACCAGATACCTTTGACCCAGTGTTGACGTCACACTTAAAAAAAGCTAGGTGACAAGCTTCACTGGGTCAGTCTACTGAGGAAGACCAGAGTGACTGGTCGAAAGCTCTAGGGGAGAGAATTTTTTGTGTTGGACCAAAAGTTTTAACTTTAAACATGTATAATTTTCTTTCTACCTTCGGAGTTTAGCAGATATACAAACTCTGACAAGAGGTATAGATCGTGAAAGTCAAACGGATGGTCCAAGTATTTACACAATGTACTTGTGCACTGCCTGAAAACGATGGAAGTCAAAGAGCCGACGCAGTTTCACAGTAAAGCATTAGAACCACGAAGATCCCCGGCTGTTTTTGCTACCAGAGAGTCGTTGAGTGTGGGCAGTTGTGCACCGAATGTCGCGCTTGTCTCAGTTTTCTCTTTAGCGTGACGTTTTCTCTGAGCGCGGTTCGAAGCTGCAGCTCGGCGCTCTGCCATCTCAGCATGATGTCTGTGGTGGGCATGGGGTCGTCGTCCAGGGAACACAGCTCCCGCGCGTCGAACGTGACTTCGCCCCGCCTCGTCTCGGACGACTCGGGCGCCGTGTGCGGCGGCGAGTGT